AGAAAACCGGCCTTCGAATCTCTTCACCAAACACTTCTACTCGAAATGGAAGTAAGCCCAACAATTATGAAACAAGAGATTTTCGAAACCCAACTTTTCTTCATTAATGCTATAACAGAGAACGCAGACCAAGCTGGGAAAACGAGATAAAAGCAACATTACAACTTTTCTTCATATTTATTTGCACAGCTCACCATTACAGGTAAAATGTATACACTACATTACCAGATTTATCAATATCATCATTGACTCTATACTTAAGTTAATGAATGTGCCAGAACAAACGGAGACGATAGAAAGGAGGAGAAGAAGTTGCCTTTATTAACCCCCTTCTCTTTTGGCCCTTGTCGTTGGGCCAGTTGTCAAGTCGACGATGGCGCACATCCCTTTTGAGAAGATATTAAAAAAGCCACCTCGACCGACTGGCATACAAAGCCGGGCAGAGTGTGGGAAACAACTGGCCGATTGGACACAGCTGATGCATTGCCATGACTACGGCCAGACAAAACGAGACAAATCGAGACAAATCGAGACAAATCGAGACAAAACTAGTCAAAACGAGACAAAACTAGTCAAAACGAGACAAAACTAGATAAAACGAAACAAACGAGACAAAACTAGATAAAACGAGACAAACGAGACAAACGAGACAAACGAGACAAACGAGACAAACGATAGAAAACGCGATAAAACGAGGCAAGACGAGACTGGAGGTGAACAAAGCCGATCTGTACGAAGCGTCTGATTGGTTGACAGGTTGGGCGGATCTTATTGGTCCTTGGACAGGGCACGTGTGTGATTGGCTGGAGGGCAGGCTGAGAGCGGATTTGCTGTTGGTTGGACTACTAAAATGGTTATCTGCACGGACATGTCCAGTCAACACATTTCTCCCCTCCTCCTCAGATCTCCTCACATCTCCTCACATCTCCCCAGAGTGGGCGGCTCCCGGTCTCTTTCTTGTGTACTTATCTCCTTCCAGGCCCCGTGAACCCAGTCAACTTTTCGTCGATTATGCCCTCTTGACGCCCCATCCTTCTCCGGCTCCACTTCCACCAGTCGCCCCATTCCGTCTGGGATCACTTTTCACTTTCACTTGCCCGTTGACTCTCAACTCGCGTCGTTTATGCCTCCTCTCGCGCCTCGTCTAGCCGGCCTCGATTCGGCCTCGACGTAAGCCCAACAACGTTGCCCTCTCCGAGCAATGCCACCTTCCCAACCGCCTCGTCACTGCCGCCGCTCCGACGAGGCTCTCACATGACACGCATCTGCCGACACTCACCCAACACATGTCAACCGCTCGCCCCACTTGCCCCATGCCCTTTCACCCCTCGGCTTG